TGGTTATATTTGTCAGGAAGATAAAGCAAAGTTTGGAATTTTAGTTCAGGTACTTATTTCAAGTTTTTGTTTTAATGCTATCAACTTTTATTTAATTTTGTGATACACATAATTATAGGTAACAAAAATTTTTAAGTAAAAGTAAAGGAGGAAATTATTTATATCAAGTTTTTTTTATTTAGAATTAAAAGAGAATTGGAAAAAAAAAATTTATTATTTTTAGCATCATGAAGGTAGAGATTGGTTTGGCAGATATATTGATTTACAGGTTTTTTATATATTTTTTTATGTTGTAAAAAATTAAATGATATATTTAAGGATCTCTAGTATAGTCAAAACTACTGTAAAGGATACTTTAAACTTTTTTTACTTAACAATTATTTGGCAAAACTGAAATACAAGTTTATAAAAATGTTTTAATGATTTACATTGTTAAAAAGTTTAAACATATTTAAATGTTCTTTATTTAATGTTTTTTTTATGCGTTTTATTATATTTACTATAAGTTATATTATTATTAACAGAAGTTTTTATATTGCCCATTGGTCAAGTTGTGTTTATCAGTATATCAGAATTGTTTATCAGAATTTCTGGTAAGAGGATTAGGCACAATTGGGCAATATAGCAAATCACTTTTTAATAATGCAATGATAATTTTTCTGCTATCTTAACAGCATTACAAGTAAAAACAAAAATTTAATTTACTACTAAAATTTAATATATTATATCAATATTCTCTTTCAGACTGTCCTATTACCCCCAAAATTTGCTTTTTTTTTTAAGTTTATTAATTGCAAATTTTTGTTGAATAAATATAGAACTATTTGCAAAAAGCTCCATTCTAGCTGATTCATCGATCCCTACGGGCATTTGTTTTTAAAAGTTACATTCTAAATGTTTTTTAAAAGTCTTTTAAACATTCTTTATGTAAGAATTAATTTTTTTCAGGGTCAAATTTTCATTCAAAATTTTCAAAACCACTTTTTTAAGAGCATCTTCAAATATTCGTTTGGAGGAATTAAATACATTTTCATTAGAGAGAAATATATTTAATTCCTCCAAACGTGTATTTGAAGAAAATTTGTTATAAAAACACACTGTGCAAAATTTTAGGTCAAAATAATAATATTTAAGGGGTGCGCCGGCCAATTAAAAATTTCTATATTTTAAAAATTTGAGTAAAGTTATGAGTTTGTTTTTACACAATTACTAATAGGCCAACAGTTTTGTAGACTAACCCTTGTTGTTTTCATCAATACATCAAGACAAAATTCAAGAAAGAATTTCAGTAAAAATTTGAAAAGAGATTTTTGAAACTGATAAACCATTGTTTGTTTATTGGGATGGCTAACTACTTGAAGGCGTTGTTGGGAATGAGGTTGTTGATTGGTCCTAATGTCTGACATTATAGATGATCAATTGCTTGGAGTGCCAAAATTAGATCATTGTAGAGGAAAGGAGACTGCAAATGCAGTAGATCAGTTGATTATTAAATGGAATCTGACAAATTATATAAAAGGTGTTGCTTTGACACAACTTCATCAAACACCTGTCATAATAATGGAGCTTGTGTCTTACTTGCAAAAATTTGGAAAAAGATTTGTTATAGTGTCTCTGTCGACATCTTATCCTTGAAATCGTGTTGAAAGCAATGGTATTCACAATATTGTCAGCTTCATCAAGTCTTGACACTTATTTAGAAGATTTATTATCCTTCATTTTTCCTTAAGTGTCAATGCTTACTTTATCACTAAAACTTCAAAACAGATCCTCCAAAGAAGTCAGAAATAGATATCAAAACTATTGAATCTAAGCAACTTGAAGACTTTGTAACAACTAACACTAATTCTTTAGTAAACTTGGATGGTCTTCAGCATTCTTAAGCAAACCAGTAGAAAATTGGCCTTTTTGATAAGAATTATTTAAAAGCATATATTGTAGTGAAATATATGAAAGTTATTAATGATATTGCTGAAAGAGGAGTGAAGTTGATTGATGATTGCAACAAATTAATCAACTGATCAACAGAAGCAATATCTATTACAAGTTGTATCAAGTTATTGGAGGAAGTTTTGAACAAATCTGAGACAAGTATTTTATCTTTAGCACAAAGATAAGACCTTAAGTATAAGTTTTATAATGCGTTATATTATAAAATATCTATTGAAAATTTCTATTGTTTTGTACTTTGTTATTTATCTCAAAAATTAGGCTCTCGTAACTTCTAGAGAATCTTTAATAGTATCAATAATAAGGGACAACATACCTGTTATAGTCTTGCAGAAGTGTTCTCCGGAGCTGTCCTTTCAAAATTATTCAACAAGTCCTTATCAGAATCTTGTTTTCCAGCCTTCTGGAAAGCATAATCTGTTATCCCTATTTTTAAAATTTCTGGAGAGCGATCTGATTTGTCTAACTTCCGTCCCATTAGTCTTCTTCCTATCATAAGCAAGTTTTTTGAACCTTCAATTAAGAAACACTTAACCTCTCATCTTGAATCTAATAATCCAATCGTAGTACAAAAGTTGTCCTTAATGGACAGCACACTTCTTCTTATTCTGTAACCTCAGAGGGTTCCTCAATATTCAATCCTTAGCCCTATACTCTTTTTAATTTACATTAACGGTCCTTCAGATGTTCTCACATCTAAGGTGGCATTGTTCGCTGATGATAATAACATTTATTTTTGTCACAACAAGAAGCCAACTTCCTCTGATTGCTTGCAGGGGGCATTTGAGCTTGAAAAGGATTTTACTTTTGCTACAGCTTGGGCTCACAGTTACTGGTTTTTCAAGCAACTCATCAAAATATCTCTTTGAATTTGAAACCATATGCTCATGAGATCTGCTAGTATGCTCATTTGAACCACAATCTTGGTATAACTTCGGAGGGTGCAAATGGATAAATTTGTTTGAAAGAATAAAAAGATGTGATGAGTTGTCTCTCTAAAAGATGACTCATCACATCTGTAAATTGTTCTAGATGCAATGTCTTACAAGAGAGAAGCTTTAAATAGTTTCTTTGTACAACCTCTTTGTATTAGACAGAAACGTTTTATCCAGCCAAAGCATGACTAATTTTAGGACACAGTTTTTTTCTTCCTTCAAACAATTCATTGGTTGTTGGAAAAAAGACACCTTTTGAAGCAAAAACAAATCTTAATTTTCTCATTCGCTCCTTACTTAGTGCAAGGGAATGCATTAAAGCTTTTTTATCTATGAAAAATTGATTCATCTATGCCAAAGGTATCTATTGTTCCCATATGGTTTGTCAAAATTGATTTTCCAACACAAGCAATACTTTTATTATTTTATTATAACTCAATAACTGGTTAACATGCAACTCTGAGAACTCATTAGTAATTAATTTGTATAATTAAGAAGTTTCTGTGTCCTCTGTTTTTATCACATATCCATATGCATATTTATTTTTCTTGAAAAGTTTTCTTTCAGACGAAGTTTTTATAAAGTATTTCATTAGTGTCTGAATATGTTACAGAGTTTGACTTGACATTTTTTCAACTTTAATAAATTGTGTGAATAAATCTACTTCAGTGATGTATTTTACATTTTTATTTTCCTCCATTACATTATTTTTTATTTTACTTTATTTCTGTTGAAACAACACAAAATCATATCAAATAAACAAATAAAAATTAACAAATTTTCATATTTGTAACCAAGAACAAAGAATTCACATATTTTAAGAAAAAGTTCAACTTTTTTTAAATCATGTAAATAAAAAAAAGTGTTAACTTGCCTCAGTTCCTCTTAAAACATTTGAAAAGAAGAAATGTTAAATATTTTTAAAATGTGTGAACACAGTAGTTTAAATATTTTTAAAATGTGTGAACACAGTAGTTTTGAAAAAGCTTAAGATTTAATCTGATTTTTTGCGCACAAAAAAAAACAAAAACTTAAATTTACAACAAAATTGCATAACTAAATTTTAAAAGCTAAAAAAAAGAAAAATTAAAAAAATAACAGATTTTGAATTGTTTCAATTTTTATTCAAAAATATATTCCATATCAAATTAAAAACAACTTTTGCACAGGTGGTTTAGCAATTTTCATGTTGGTAAATTCATTTTGAATGAAAACAAACCGAATTTACTAAACTTTATAGATATCCAATCAACTTCAAAATTACATATCATCACTTAAAAATTAGAAACATAATTTTTTTATTTTGTTTATTCACAAATTTATCTGAATTTCTAAATAAATAATTTTTAAAGACTTTCTCAAACAAATATTTTTTGTCTATTTCCACCCATTGTGCAAGGAAACCATATATACAATCCATTGCAAAGTTGGCATCTGCTAAGGTTGCTAAGGTTACTTCTCTTCATTGTGTTCACTATTTTCTTACTCATGATTTACTATATGATATTTCTATAAATTATCTTTCTATAAGTCATGCGATTTATTTCTATGTTTACATTCAATTTCAAAAATTTATAATCATTTGCTGTATAATCAGATTATATTTCATTTAATTTATGAGATTAGCGCAGCAACAACATTATTACATAACACAAATGCCAGTGCTGGTGTCAATGCACTTGCTAAAGAGTTGTCACATCAAATCAATGCTGATGCATCTGTGCATCATTGTATTACCAGTATATTAGGTTATTTTTAAGTACATATATTTTATTGTAGTAGAATGAATTAATGTTTAATGATTAGTGTTTTTTTATTTTTTATTTGTCTAATTGTTAAATTTATAGAAAATTATGTTATTTGTATTTTAGAGAAATGTGTCCCAAGCTGTTGATGAGTTTACATTTTATAGGCTTGTTCAGTACTTTGCAATTGTTTTGTTTGAGTGAGTTTTTTATTTAATTGTTTTGTTTGAACTTGTTTTTCTTTATTACTTTAAAAAATTCTTTAAAAATTTTTTAAAATTAAAAACTTTTCTTAAATATTTGTTTGGCTTATGAAATATAAAATGTTTTTTTTAAGATGTTTTTGTTTTTAAATTAAGATGTAACATGGCTGATGATTTTGGTCCTGCGACTTCTGTAATGAACATGTCTTTTACATATCACTTCACATCAGTTATGATTCCAGGTTCAGATTTTTAATTTCAAAGTAAAAAAAGTAATTATCTTTTAATTTCATAGTAAAACAAATTAATATCTTTTACTTTAGTCTATTTTCTATAGCGCTAATTCTCTACAAAAATTTTAAAGTAGCATTCTATACACAGTTGTACAATGTTTTTGTAGTGCTGTTGTTATCAACAATGTTTGTATAGCATCAATGCTATGCAATATTGCATTGTATAATGCATCATGCAATATTTTATAACATGACTGTTGTACAAGTTTTTATTTATGTTATTCAAAAGAAGTTTGTTTGAAGTGATGGGAGGTTAGTTTTAGTTTAAGTAACTTTTTAAGCATGACAAATTAGTCAACTAACTTTTTAGTCTAACTAAAATTAGTCAGCTAGAAAATGTGACAAAAATGTGAATAATCTACAGCATCAATATTTCACACACAGTTTATTGAAGCAGTTTGAATACTGTTTTATTGTTTTAAGTTTTTGTTGTTTTAAATTTGTTTTAAAAATGTTTTATATAAAATTTTAGTTTTTAATACTTAACTTTAATTTATTAGAAAGATGTTTGCTTCTGCTGATCTTTTGGTTGTTGTGGTAACCTTAAAAGAAACATATTAAATTATATCTCTATTTAATACTAACTATTATTCTTTATAGATTGTTGTCTGAATATTTATTGCTTTTGAAAACTAAATAAATGGATTATATTTTTTCTCTGAATATTTAAATACATATTAAAGGCTTGCACAGAAGGGTGGTAATATTGGGGGTGTGACACTCCCTCCCTTATCCTTATTACCAATTTTTAAAGATACAATTGGGAAAAAGGAGTATATATATATATATATATATATATATATATATATATATATATATATATATATATATATATATATATATATATATATATATATATATATATGCATATATATATATATATATATATATATATATATATATATATATATATATATATATATATATATATATATATATATATATAAGTGGGTCAGAAGCCAAGGGGTACAAGTGACAATTTTACCAAAATTAAGTTAAGTATAGAATTTGATAGAAGAAGCAAACAAAATTGTTGGTGGCCAAGGGATACAAGTGAATCTCTGCCCTGCGCTGCTTTCTACTGGAAAAACATAACAACAGCTGAGTATATTTAACAAAAATACTTTAACTTTAAACAGCTGTATCTCAAAACTATGAAAATGTCACTTGTACCCCTTGGCTTCTGACCCACTTATTTTAAAACCTAATAAAAACATTAATATTTTAAATTAATGTTTTTATTAGGTTTTATTTAATATTTTATTAGGTGTTTATATTTTTGCATAGGTCGGTTCGGCCAACCTTCCAAGCAATATGTTTATGAATATCTCAAAGATCAGTCTATCTGGTATGATTTTATAAATTATGGGCTCATTTTTCTTGATTGAGTAAGATATGATACATAGCATTCTTAACAGAATTGTAAAGAAAAATTAGTTGCGGACTACTTTATTAAAAATGTTTAATTATCCAAACTCCAACCCCAACGTTGCCCTCACTCAAATCTCATTGATATATTTTTTTAAATATTAGTTCAATAATATTAAAAAAAAAAGGTTTGTTTTTGTCTATTGGGTACAAAGTTATCATAATACAATAATGTTACTTAAAGATAACTTTGAGTAGCAATATTATATTATGAATTTTTAGCAATTAGCTAATTCCTGGTACTGACAGTAACAGTAACATATATATTATAGTTAAGACTAACTTAAGTAGCATACATGCTATATATCTTCAGTTTATCTATTTAGCACTTTTTTAAGTATACAAAATTATACATGATAATACAAAAGTATTTACAAGTATACATGCACACACACACACAGGCTAGATTCAAGTAATATGAACATCTAGGTAATATGAACATCTAGGTAATATGAGAAAACCAAAAGATTTCTAAGATGTGAGTATTGAAGTTCAAGTTGCTTTGTATTTTTTAAATTAAGTTTATAAATAGAAAAGTTTTAAAATAAGTATAGTTTGCATAATTTCATACGCAGTAATTAGCATCTCAACTAATTAAAATGCTGTTAAACTTTTTGTTTTGTTTAAATATTATGTAATGATAATAAAAAACAGTACAATCAGCATAATTTTATACGTAGTAATTAGCAGCTCTCATCTAACTAAAACACTGTTCATTTTCTTGTGTTATTAAATTACAGTGTTGGGCAAAGAAACTTACTTATTTCAGTTTATATTTCTGAAGCAATCACTACTGTTGAAAGTACTGATGAGGGTGGGGGTAATGCCACCTGAGCAGGCGTATCTTGAATTTCTATCTTGTTTCAGTTGCCATCATGGAGTGGATGAAGGTGCAACACGCATTTGCTGTTGAGACGTACTTTTGTAATAGTCATTCCATCATCGCTACGCAGCATGCATTTTGTGCCCATTTTAATATTGCACTCTTGTGGCTGTGTTTTTAGCTAAAATTCAATTGATCTTGTTCTAAAATTCAAAGGGTAAATAACTTCAGAGAAACTGGTGATGTAAAAAAGGAAAAAACTGGTCTTCCACCAACAGTGAGATCACATAAAATATTGACATGGTAAAGCAATCTGTGTTGCACTAAGTATTCTGCATATAAACATGCAACTGCTGTTGGAATGTCTGCTCCTTTAATCAGACAAATCATTTATGAAGGACTAAAGTTCCATCCCTATAAATTGGCAGTAGTACAGGATCTGAGCCCTCATAATTTTGCTGCTTGAGTAAATAATCATGAGGCGCTAGTCAACTTTCCTTAAGATGCCATAGTTTTCTTCACTGATGAGGCCTGTCTCCATCTTTAGAAATGTTTTAATAAACAGAACATGCATTATTGGAGCCCAAATAACCCCAGACAGCTTAATCAACGTCTCTTACGCTCAGAACATGTTACTGTTTGGTGTGCGATATCGCAAGTTGGAATAATTGGTCAATGGTTTTGGAAGATAACAACCAGTCAGTCACTGTGACTTCAGACCAATATGTCAATATGGTTCAAGAATTTTTCTTGCCAGCACTTGAAGAAGTGGGTGTGGGAATAGTGTTGCTCCAGCAGAACGGTGCCACGTCATACACCGCATGAGTGTCAATAAATGTTTTGCAGGAATGCTTTCCAGGACAACTCATCGATTTGCATTGGCTGGCTCATTCGCCTGATTTAACCCCCTTTGACTTCTTCCTGTGGGGTTACCTCAAGTCATTGGTCTACAATGATCGCCCTAATACTTTTAATGAATTAAAGAACAACATTCGTCATATTGTTGCCAACATACCCATGAATATGCTGCAGAGAGTTCAAAATAACTTTCAAAATTGACAGTGCATTAAAGATAATGGCTGCTATTTGCCTGACACAATTTTTAAAACTAAATAAACATGAATTTCCAATGTTATTTCATATGTTGTTTTAAGAATATAAATTACATTTGTTCATATTTTGTTTTTATTGAGTAAGTTCCTCAGCCCCACCCTGTTTTATCATTACACATAAAAGAATCTGTGGCACAAAGTTTTGTTAAAATATAGATATTTATTTTTCCATAAAGAAAAAATATGTTAGTTACAAATCTATTCCATTTTTGTTTGAAGAGCAATGTATAGGAACAATAATTAAAGAGACCATTTTTATGTAATGAAAGCATGATCAAACTACCCTGTATTTTTTATTGAATTTTTACTTAGTTTAAAGTCTAAAATTGCAATAGTTTTAATTACTTTTTGAATAAAAAATAAATAATTTTGAATAAAGTAGTGAAAAGTTTTTTATACTGTTTAGTGTAAAAATGTAGTAAAAGTATTTTATCTTTTAACAATACTAAATATCGTTTTGTAGTTTATTTTCAAAAAGTTACATTTTTATCATTTAAAAATTTAAGTTAACATAATTGAATAAATAACAAATTAACTTTTTTTTGTTTCAATAAAAATAACATTTTAATTAACATTTTATATTTCAATCATGAGTTTTGTTACTAACAAATCATCATACTCCACAAATTAGTTCTAATTATCAGGTTTGTATTTCTTTACTTAATGTTATTTTCATGTTCTAATTTAAAGTGTTCATACTCTCATATGTCTAATCTGGGTAGTACAAGCACTTTCACTACTTTTTTAAAAATATCTGTGTTTTTAAGAAAAAATATTTGTGTGCCCAAAAATCTAAGTGGACACCTAAGGTGCTCATTGTACACTAATCTACTTAGGTAGTCTCAAAAATAAAGGTTTATACTATTATTTCTCAGCATAGCTGTTTTTTTTCATTTTGGTTTAGGAGAAAGTTTTTTTCATTTGGTATAGAGAGAAAGGTGAAAATGAGGTATAAAAAACATATGACATAAATGATAGTTAACCCCTGATTTCTTTATATGGCATTATTGAAACAGATGTTAATTTTTTTTTGTTGACACCTAGTTTGGAGTGAAAAGAAGAGGAAAAGTTAGGGCCTATTCTAGGAAAAAATTTGGGCAGCGGTACCCACTTGTTCCGGTAAACTTTAGCAGAAAAATTGGCAGTTTTTCACGAAAATAACAATTTTTGCTGTAAAAAACATAAATAAAAAATAAAAGGTCATTAAATCTTTAGTTAGGCAGCACCAAAATACGGTCAGCAATTTCAGGGGCTGTTCTAGATGAAAACGGTCTAGAATAGCCTCTGAAAGTATCAGCAAACTCAAACTTAGTTGCGTTAGATTGCTTCGAAACAATCCAGCTTTGGAAAAAATCAAAAAGCTCTACAGATTAGAAAAATTTTAAACTTGATTTAGAATGCATTTGTTTCCCAGTCTGTAGAGCTGTTTGTTGCCAGCTGTTATACATTTCAGAAATAATATTATCTTGAAGTTCAATTGATCCATAAAAATAAAAGAATGAGTGCTGCAATAAATGAAAAGTAATTTTTGCTGGCCGTTATTGTTGCTTTAAGGCAGCAAAATGATGTCCAACATTGATATATCAAAAAAAAATGTGGATCACATAGCAAATTTTACCAAATTTGAACAAGACTTTTGTCAGCAAGGCACATGAAACATTTTTAAAGCACCTCTAGTTTCTCTTTAAACACCTGGTTGAGATAGCCCTTTTAGAAAATAGTGTTAACAATCAAAGAAAAGACAAAAGGTACAAGTTTAAATTATCCAGAATTTGCAGACACTACCTGGCTTCACTTCCTTAAAGTTGATAAGAGTATCTGAACAGTTGAAATTAGAGAATTTGGTGACAATAAGGTCAACATCTTTCTTTGATCTTTCCTTTGCTTTATGAAAGGAGGAAAAGTTTCATACATCAAAAATCCATTTGATTTCTGATTCATACATCCATTTGATTTCTGATTCATACATCCATTTGATTTCTGATTCATACATCTATTTGATTTCTGATTCAGTTTTCAAGAAATTTATCAACTAAGTGCACACAAATTTTAATCTAAGCATTGAAATCAAAATAGAAAAAGAAAAATTAAAAAAATAGTATAAAAAATTGAAAAGTTAAAATTAACCATTTGTGAAATATTTTTTTTCAACAAATGGCAAGTTTGTTAAAAACAACTTTTATTGCTTTCGATATTATCACAAATGTTTTTTTTTTTTTTTTTTTTACCAAAACATCTTTATAAAAAAAATTAAAAAAACTCTTAACTATACAATCATATAAAAACAATTCAAATATTCAATTATAAAATTAGTTATCCTAAATTCAGATAAATTTTACACAACTTTAAAATTTTTCAAGGAAACTCAACAAGTTTCTTTTATCTAAAGTAAATATTTTACTCTGCTGGCAACTATGGGAACTATGGCTTTCCAAAAATGTATAAAATTCTGACGATAGTATAAATTTCAGAATAGGTACTTATAATTATCAAAATGCCGAGGTTTATGCATGTCAGTAGAGGAGAGATTATTTTATTTCAAACAAGTTTCTTACATACATAGATTGTTATAAAGATCATCACATACATGGGTTGTCATAGAAGTTATCACATACATGGGTTCTCATGGAGATCATCATATTCACAGGTTGTCATTAAGATCATTACATACATGGTTGTCATAGAGGTTTTTATCAAAAGTTGTTAATTATTTATGTGCTTATATTTGTTAAAGTTATAGTGTTTGCTAAAAGTATTTTGCAACAGTTATGATGATTTGAACACAGAAACAAAAATATCTTCAAAAATTATCCCTGGTTAACCCCTGATTTGCCTTTTATATGTTAATCATTTATAATTAGATTTACAATTTATAATTAGGTTTAAAATTTTATCTAAGTATATTTAGTTGCTTAAAACGTTGCTTTAAGTTTAGAATTTCATCATTTTTAGAATTTGTTACTATAATAAAAAAACAAATGTTTTTAATCATTTTATTCGCCTAATGCCAATCTAAGAATTTGGCTATCAATCTATTTGTAATATATAGAAATTTTTATTTTATTTTTGAAAAATATAATAAAAATTTCTATTTATTACAAATAGATTGATATCAGTATAAATACATTAGTGTTTATCAACATTTATTTATGAATTTATGGTACTGAGTTTGAAAGTACTGAGTTTGGTGGGGCTTTATATGTTAGTTAACAAGGACCTTTATTGGTCAACATCACTACTTTTGGTTAGTATTACTTTTTTCGGAGTTTTAAGATTGAGTTAAGTTGAAAAATGAAACAATTTTTATTAAAAAAATTTTTTCTCAAAAATCTTTTTTTCAGGAAATATTCTTATTAATTTAATACTTTACTTTAATAATTTTACTTTAATAATTTTTATTATTTTTTTAAATAAAGGAAATCACCAAGATTTTGGAATGCTGCTTTTCTGCATGCGATACACGATGATCGAATGAAGCGGACAAATGGTTTAATGTAAGTCTATTTGTATGGATTGCAATATTTAATTTAAAAATAAAATAAATTAATTAGGGAGTCTGAAGTATGCATATCCAGTGGGTACAAGATGTGTCTCAGAAAAAATCGAAAAAGGGTATTAAAACATTTAATACATGTTTTAGATGTGTTACTACTTTTTCCCACTAGGTAGTTTAAAATAAAGTTAGTTTCTCTACTTATTTTTCTTGCATGGTGTTCTTGATCAAATTTATGCATACAGTATTTAATTTATACAGACTAAATTCACCTGCTCTATCTTCCATTAAACCAAATGAAACTGGTGAATTAATGTGATGTAAAAAAATTTCAATCTTAATGAATTAATGAATTTTTTTAATCTTTTCAAACTCTTGAATTCTATTCACATTTTAGTTAAATTATCATAATTAATTAAATTATTATTAAATTGCATTAAATTAGCTACATTATTGTGAATTTTGAAACTAAAAGTTAACTAGTTAACATCAAAATTAGTGGCTATCATTACTTTGACAGATGACTTTTCAAGTCTTTTGTCAATCATTTCCTTGCTCTATAACTCTATTCTTTTTTTTCCTAGTAATTCCCAACTTAATAGTGGTTGCTTGCAGCCTTTTTAAAAGTAAATTAGAATTAAAAAAAAACAAAAAAACAACTGCAAAATCTATTGTCATCAATCCAATTACTCTCCCTCCTGTGTAATTTATGCAGGGAAAATTTCTAATTAAGAGGCTTACTTTTTGATAATTTTTCTTGTTTTTTTATTTATTTGAGAGAAGTCTGCTTCAATCTGCTTCATGTTCTGCTTCAATCTGCTCCAACCTGCTTCCACTTGCTTCAATCTGCTTCATGTCCTGCTGCCTTGTAGGATACGCTTTTTTAGGCAAAGGCTAGGAGATGCCAACTCCGACATAAAACACCCCCTTTCTTGGGGCTCTTGGTTGAGTGAAGGCTAGAGATGGTATCTCAATAAAAATACTCATCTTGGGCAGATGTTAAATGCATCCAGCTACTGTCTTGTAGAAGGCCTCCTAGGAAAAGACTTAAGAGGTAAACAGATTCTATCTGCTGACCAGCCTCGCATCCCTTCTTCATCTATTAGGGTGGCGAAAATGTATTTTCAATACATTGTTTCCAGTTTAGGATGTTGAATAGTGGATCTTCTTGACTCGATGCAAGGGTTTTGCTTGTGTCTCTGTTTTTATGAATAGGCAACTCATTTTATTATCTCCTAATAAGGGTACAGCTCTAAAACTCAGTTTTATGGTTCTGAGGCTGGCTGGTAGTCAGGTTTCCCGAACTCTGTGGTAGCTCTCAGAGATGCTGATTCCATCAATAGCAGAAAAATATCAAAGTATTAACAGTGCCATGTTGCGCATGGATGGTGTCCCTGTTTGTACTTTTGGTGTGCATTGCCAAGGCCGCATTGTAGCCCTTTGTTATGGCTTAGGGTTTATCAATAGTAATGAGGCAATTACTTGGGCTATTAAACAGTGTACTGAGTACTATCTATGTTTCAAGTCAATTTCTTTAACAAATTTAAAAATGAATAAAGTACCAAAAACTATAAAACACAAAAAATCTTTGAAGTAACTTTTCTTTTTTTGAGTCTTATTTCTTGCAAAGGACACCAGACCTACTTGCTTTTTGTGAGACTAATTTGAGTTCAGCTGTCTTATCTTGTAATCTTAGTGTTGATGGTTATCTTCTTTCAATTCGTAAAGACTCCAATAGTCACATGCTTATCCTAGGCATTTACATTCGTAAGAACTTACCCATTTGTCGGGAAACTAGGTTTGAATCCACAGACTACTCTTTTATATGCTTTTGTTTAGCACCACTTCACTCTACCACCTTTCTCTTTGTTCTATATTGCTCTCCTTCATCTCAAGACTACACTCTTCTTGATGTTATTTCTGATCATATTGACCAAGCCCTCTCTCTTTATCCATCAGCCAATATTGTTGTTGTTGGCGACTTTAATGCTCATTGCACTGAAAGGCTTTGCTCTTGTGTCAGTGACTCTGCATTAAAGCCCAAAACTTTTGCCTTTCTCAATCCCTAAATCAAATAGTCAACTTTCCAACTTGCTTTCCAGACAATCCCAATTATTTACCTTCTCTACTCAACTTACGTTGAGTAGAGAAGGTAAATAATAACTTCTGATCCTATTCAGTGCTCAGTTTCTCCAGATTCACCCTTAGGTGCCTCTGATCATGGTTTGATCACTCTAAAACTATTATCTCATTCTTCTTCATCATCAGAGTACCCCTATCATCATACATCTACCTTAAAGCTGACTGGGACTCTTTCCGTGATTTTCTTCAAGATGGCCCTTTGTTGGAAATCTTTTGTCTTCCTGTTGACAAATGTGCTTCCTACATAACTTCATGGATTCCTTTATTCTCTCTTGACGATTCCAGGTCAAGCCTCACTCTTCTCCATGGTTTTCCTCACATTGTGCTGCTGCAATTGCGAATCGAAACTATTACTTCCATATCTATCAGAAAAACAATTCTCCAGAAAACAGACGTCTGTTTATTACTGCTAAAAACCATTGTAAAAAGGTTTTGTCTAACGCCAAAGCCCGCTATTCTCAGGTTATGAAATCTTGTATTTTATCACAAAAATTAGGCTCTTGTGACTTCTGGAGAATCTTTAATAGTATCAATAATAAGGGCAAATCTGTAATTCCATCTCTCTTGTATGGTTCAGACTTTGTCACCTTGCCTAAAGACAAAGCTGAATTGTTTGCTAAGAACTTTTCATCAATATCATCTCTTGATTCCACTAGTTGCGTTCTACCTGATATAGCCATCAAACAGGTTGATCCATTGCTGGACATTCGTATCACTCCGGCTTCTGTATCTAAAGTGATTTCCTGCTTAGACTCTTCTAAAGCTTGTGGCCTGGACAACATACCTGTTATAGTCTTGCAAAAGTGTTCTCCAAAGCTGTCGCCTATCTTTTCAAAACTATTCAACAAGTGCTTATCAGAGTCTTGTTTTCCAGCCTGCTGGAAAGCAGCATCTGTTATCCCTATTTCAAAAATTCTAGAGAGCAATCTGATTTTTCTAACTACCGTCCCATTAATCTTTTTCCTATCATAAACAAGGATTTTGAATCTTTAAATAACAAACACTTAATCTCTCATCTTGAATCTTATAACTTACTTTCTGATCATCAATATGGGTTTTGATTTTCTTGTTCTACGGCTGACTTAATAACAGTAACAATTTGCTAACAGTAATAACCAATAGGTTTTATTGTGCATTAGATAAAGATGGAGAGGTTAAGGCCATTGCTCTTGACATTTCTAAAGCATTTGATAAAGTTTGGCATGCTGGTCTTCTCCATAAGCTTTCTTCTTACGGTGTATCTGGAAACATCTTTAAGATTATCGAATCCTATATTTCCAATCGTAGTATAAAAGTTGTCCTTGATGGACAGTATTTTTCTTCTTATTCTGTAACCTCAGAGGTTCCTCAAGGTTCAATCCTTGGCCCTATACTCTTTTTAATTTACATTAACAATCTTCCAGATATTCTCACATCTAAGGTAGCATTATTCGCTGATGATACTACCATTTATTCTTGTCATGATAAGAAGCCAACACTATCTGATTGCTTGGAGGGGGCATTTGAGCTTGAAAAAGATCTCTCTTTTCTTCTACAGCATGGGGCTCGCAGTGGCTGGTGAACTTTAATTCAGATAAAACTCAATTTTTTTCAGCCAATCGTTATCGCAATAATTTAGACCTTCCTATATTTATGAATGGTAATGTACTTGATGAGTCATCTACCCTTCATCTTCAAGGATTAAGTTTTACTTATAATCTTTCTTGGAAACTTTATATCAAATCCATTGCAAAATTAGCGTCTGCTAAGTTGCATCTTTTTATCGAGCTTGACACTTTTTTACTCCGGGTTCTATTCTCTATCTCTATAAATCTCAAATCCGGCCTTTTATGGAATACTGTTGCAAAATCTAGGGCGGATCTTCTTATGATGCCCTTTCTCTTTTAGACAAGGTGCAAAAACGCATTGTAAACATAGGTGGATCTGATTTTGCAACCAACCTTTAACCATTATCACATTGTCGTAATGTTGCTTCTCTCTCTCTTTTCTACAAATACTATAACGGGTACTGTTCTAAAGTGCTAGTGTGCCAACTTGTGCCATCTACCAAAATTCATTCTCGTGTTACTCATCATTCAATTTTGTCTTGTCCTTTTTCTGTGACTGTTCCTTAATGCTCCAAAAACTCTTACATTCCTTGAACATCAGTTCTTTGGAATACTGATACTGCAGTAAACTGCAGTAAAAAAGGACTCACTACAAATAGCTAAAACCCAACCAACCCCAAATTTGTAAAGCACCAATATTTTTTTTGATGATATGATATAAAAAGTATAGATTTACTGAACAAACAAAAATAAAAATAACTAAATAAAACACTTACCGTACCACCAAAAGAAAACATGAAAACAAAATAAATTAAAATTCTAATAGAAACATAAAAATATTAATCAATTTGTTTTAAGAAATAAAACCAAATAGGTATTATTATCAGAAAGCAGTATACCTCATTAGAAAATTTTTTTATTTCAACTGATATATTTATATATTTGCTCCAAAAACTCTTACTTTCCTTGAACATCAGTTCTTTGGAATTCGCTTCCTTCATCTTGCTTTCCTGATTCATATAATTTGCAATCTTTCAAGTCGTCTGTCAATCATTATCTTGCTCTATAATCTTAATCTTTTTTCTTCCAGTAACTTCCAACTCTAAATAGTGGTTGCTTGCAGCCTGGTTGGAAACAAAGATGGTTAAAAACAAAAAAAGTCAACTATTTTGAAATTCCCATTCCATCCCAGAGCCATACAATTTTTTTTTGTGCCAAACATTCAGGAAGGTACCAGAATCTACTGTCGCATTTTAGATCATTCTTCAAGTTTTTAGAACATTCTGGAAAATTCTACAATATTCTTTTGATGAAATATTACAGTTTTAAATGAGTTTGTCAATTGACAAAACAAAATGTTTTGTCAATTAGAGGCCTGGAATGCATGTACTTTAGCTGTCTTAAGAGAGAAACTATGGTTGTGGAATAAATGTTTTAAAATTTTTATCACAGATGTTTACTACCAGAAAAGTATAGAAAAACTTATAAAACTTATAACTTATATAAAGTAGTGGGAAAGTTTTTCAATTTTTTTGCTTTCTACTTGCAATATAAAAATTGCCTTGAATGAATAATTAGTTTTTTTTGTCAAATGTGCTTTAAATATTGTATCTTATTTTTATTATTATTTTCTGAGAATCTTGCTTAGTGGCTTTATTTGCAGAAACATATGTATTACTTATACAAGTAAAAGTTTGCTAAAACAAACTGCTCATATAGATTATAAACAAGTAAAAACCTAAAAAAGTTTTTACTTGTTCATTCTTGCAGTATACCAAGTTTGTAAATAGTTTTTCTGTTATCTAAGTTGTAAAGAAAAAATTTATAAGCATTAAAAGAAAAACTTTATTGTAATTTGAACTTTGAATATTTACAATAAAATGTAATAGTAGTTAAATAAGAAAATAATTTAAAGTAACATAAAAATGAAATCAGTTATAAATGAAATTAGTTGTAAATGAAATCAATTATAAATGAAATCAGTTACAGGCATCCTATAGATTATTGATTGTGTGTTTAACTTTATATAGAGAATGGAATTCTATGAGTAATGAACAACGAAAAGATTTTGAGACTGGTGAAGAGAATTCCACTTATGCTCATCTAGTGTAAGTCACGTGTTTTGTATTTCTTTGTATTATTGATGATATGTCAGATCTACCCAAAATATGCACTCAAAATGCACCCAAATATGAAAGTAGTATTTTTCAAAATAAAATTTTGTTAACTTTTTTTTAACTTGGTTTATTTATTTAGTTTCCGAGACATGTTCTGTTCATATTAAAGAGAATGATAAAAAAAAAAATGTTTGGGCTGAATTTTTTTATTAAAACAAAAGAATAAATAAATACCAAGAAAAAATTTATTTTTTATTTTAGTTGAAGCTCACCTTCTCCATTTTATTTATATATATATATATATATATTTCTATATTTTTTATATTTCTATATTTTTATATTTTTATATTTTAGGTCTAAAAGTCAGCGTAATATACGCCGCAATCTACAAACTTGATTATTTATTCAAGCACGTTTTATTTCTAAAAGTTTTAGTACATGACGTCATTGGTTTTTTAACTGTTTACATATTCGATTTCTTGAGCAAACAAAAAAAAAAAAGACAATGTGCCATGTGCTGAAACTCTTAGGAATAAAATAAGGGAAAAACCAAAGCAATGCTTTGGTTTTCCCTTTTTTTTAAATTCAGCAAAACAAAGTAAGCAGACTGAGCAATGAAAGCCCACAGAGAAATATGAAACATTTCTATTGAAAGAACTTTTTATATAAAGGAGGATAAGTAATGAAAACAAAGAAAAACAAACAGATGTTCAGAATAAACACAGATTTATTTTAAGAAGAAAACACTTACAGGTAGACAGGCCCCAAAAACTCACGGACCCCAAAAGCCACATGCTCACATTAGTACCTGTTGTTCATAGATTAAGCCCTATCAAGGAGCAAAACAAATTTTTTTATTTGACAAGATAGTTTTTTTGAAAGGAAAATGTTAAAAATAAGAAAATTACTCTAATATTTTGAAAACTATTCACAAAACACTAGAAATTTTTTTTTTAATTGTGTGACTTTTTGACATAATAGTCTATAAAAACTTGAAATTTTCAATTAAGTTTGCAAAGTAAAGTTTTTTGTAAAGATTTAAGACATACTTCTGCAAATAAATCATTAGAAAATAAATAAAAATGACAGTTGCTAAAATAACTCAACTCAACTAATGAGTATTTATGTGTGGTTTTTGGGGTTCCTAAACAAAAAAATATATATATGGATCTAAAAATCAACATTAAATTGCATTTTTTCTTTTTTCTATTAATAACTATTTAACAATCAAATAAAAGATTGACAAGTTGTTTGTAAAAAATATTAACTATTGACTCTCAAATAAGTTGATCAACTAATTGACTATTGATAATGGAATTATCTTCATATTACATATTGTTATATGGACATAAGAACTGTAAAGTCAGTTTATTGGTGTATCCTTCAAACTGCATCTTCATCACTTTCATTCTCAATAACCTTACGTTTGAGTGAGTTGTTGGTTGCTGCAGCAGCTAAAAACATTATCGGTTTCTTCCCATCCACTTTACAAGATAACTTTCTGCAGACTGATCTTTGAACATTGTGGCAAGAAGAGCAATGCTGTAGTTTTATGGCATGGCACACACTTTCTCCACAGTTACATTCATTTTTACGCCGTAAAAATGCTTCTTTTTGTTTCTCTTTGTTCCATCTTCTTTCTTCCTTATCTTTTATTTCTTGATTTTTATTATCTTGAATTACCTTGACTAAGTCCAACACATTTTCTTCAAGTTGAATGCTTTTTTCGCTTAGCTTTTGAATTAGCTCTTGCGAACGTTCAAATTTCCAATACTGAGCTGAATTTTTTCTTTTATCAGGAGAATTAATAATATATCTTCCAGGAATTGTTGTACTGAGTGTAACACCTTTTGGATTATCAATACATAAAGCAGCTTGTGCAAACTTGTCCTGCTGCATATCGATAACATTTAATGATGTGGAAGTTACTCCCACACGTCTTGCAGCTTTGATTATAGATTGTCTTGGGGCCCAGTTGTTCCAAATACGTCCTAAAATCATCATAAAAGCTTTTTTATTTAGTGAATTGGAATTGGTAAAAACGTTTTTTTTTCATACCACGATACTCATGATGAAGGTTTTTATTGAGTTGATCTAAAAGCTGTGTCACACCAGTGGTATCTGGAGGAGTTAAGAACATACGTATGTTTTTTGATTGTAAAAACTTTAAGACATCAAAATTAAAGCGTGAACAATGCCCATCAGAAAGCAAAACTACTGGTCGTGCAACTTTTTTTTCAGTAAGATATTCACAAACTCTTTATACATATCTAATAACGAATTGTGATCAGATTCACCATGATTGCACGTTGTTATTAGAAGATGCGGAATATTTGCCACAGCTTCCTGTGGAGCCATTTGATTAGTTATTCCAACAGTACCAAAGAGTACTTGACAGACACAAAGGTCTCCTAAAATTACAAAGAAATATTATACAACACCACCCTTTCAATCTATATTATAAATATTTATCAAAAAAGTGATATGGAAATAGCTACCTGAAAATGATACTAGAGGATGAATGGTGACACATTCACGGTTCTCTCTTATCATTTTACAACATGTTTCCCCTTTTGCAGCAAAAACAAGACCAGCAGGAGTACCATCAACACCAAAATTTATAAACTGTGGTGTTTCATCGTGATAAAATATTCTGCATAGATCAATATTTCCAGACCAAACTCCTGTCTCCTTTTTGGCTGCTTCAGTCATAATGCCAGCCTCGATCAATTCCTCTGCAAGACTGTCTAAAGACAACCATGACAAACAATTAGTAACTCAGTTTTGCTAGAACTATTTTCATGAATGTAAAGTAAGAATTCATAAACTGATAACAAGGCGTAGCTCTGGGTTAAATTTTAAATAAAGCATATGTATACTATGAAATATAATAACTCAATATTTACTCATACCAAGGTGGGAACATGCCATTTCCCTTGTGCAATTGAGAGCTCTATTTATTGATACATTTCCTTGTCGCTTGAGTGTTAAGCTTGGATTCTTAGCTATAAAGCGCATCCAGAACGATTTACCTAATCTGCGTTTTAAATAAAAATAAAAAATTAACAAGTTAAACTAAAAAACGTCAAGCAATCACTTTATATCTTAGTATGTTGTCTTTAACTACCTTTTAAATATATATATATATATATATATATATATATATATATATATATATATATATATATATATATATATATATATATATATATATATATATATATATATATATATATATATATATATATATATATATATATATACTCGATTTTTATTCTTAATGTATGAAACAATTGACATCTCTTCTTCCTCTAAAAGAATTGCACAGTACTGCCTTTCAAGACCATTGACTTTTTTCCCATCAAGTCTACGGTTTATAGTTTCACGATCTTTAATAAGTGGGAATTGTCTAGTTTTAATTGCAGCATGTCCTCTTACATTATTTTCTTTACACCATTGAACAGCAGCTTTAAGTTGTTTGTTTTTTTTCTAATGTAGCTTTTCTCTTTATAAGTGCTTCAGCATTAGAACTTGGGTTTAGAGATTTCATCTGCAAGCGAGTTTTGAACTTTTTGCTGCTGTTACTCATGCTTATTTATTTTCTTAAAAACAAAAAATCGAAAATCACATAAACTTAACTAAAACTATCCTCAAACTATCCTCTACGCAAGAGCATAAAATAAAATCATTTTATAAATTTAGTATAACCAAAACGATAGCTACAACTACTACAAATTTACTCTAAATCTTGAATTTTTGTAATATTACTTAGATTTTTGTCAAAACTAAAATAACTCATGTGGTTTTTGGGGTCCCAACCATGCGGTTTTTGTAGCGCCTCAGGTACTTCCATAAAATTTAAGTTTGCAATCAAAATACTATATGAAGGGGAATTTAGTATAACAAACTTATTCAAAATATGGGAAAGTTAAAACTAATTTCAAAAAAGTTACACACGATTTAAGCCATGTGGTTTTTGAGGTCCCATACTAAAATATAGAGAAACTTTACATTGAAAAAAAAAGTAAAAATAAAAAAAAAATTTTAACTCCTGGGAAGAACTTTTACTATATAAAAGAATATAAAAAAGAAAAAAAAAGTTAAGTTTTTTGTTTTATACAAAAGATATGACAAAAGAAAAAATCATGTGGTTTTTGGGGCCTGTCTACCTGTATACACAAATCATAGTCAACAGAAAATGTATTAAACAGAAAATTACTAAAACAAAGTAAGACACATAAGTAAACATAAATCTTCATTAATAAAATTAATACTTTAAAAAACTATACATATGCATAGATATATCAATATTTAAAATAAATAAATATAAAATGATAGGTATAAGATAAAGAAAAAACATTATTGGTTTTGTGTAATCGTAATTTATGGTGGTAATAAACTTTTCCTCAGAATTGCATTTATAATTACCAGCGTTTCAAAGAGGCTCAGCACCATTACCTAGTTTATCCCTTCTGATATACATCATCGCTATTTATGCTTTACCCTGGATTTACGTCTACTCCATATTGCAGTAAAAAAGGATATCACTACAAACAGCCAAAACCCTAACTTCACCCAAATTTGTAAAGCACTAATATTTTTGCAGAAATAATGATGATAGTGAGAGATGTGAGTTTAATACCAAATATTATAACAAATTTAAAATAAAATAAGTATATGTATGTAAGTTCTTTATCATTTATAAGAAAGCAGATTTGTGGCCAATCAAAAACTCCAGCTTTTTTTTCTCTAATGACAAACATGGTAATGTTTTAAGTAAATACGGAAAAAAAACATTATCAGTTTTCAGTGCTTTAACAAATTGTTTTGTGAAACCAAGTTTAAGATAAAGTGATGGAAAAACTGTTTTATTTTTTTAACAATAGGTTCATTTACAATATTCGGTATGCCCACTCTGAGAGTTTTGTGAATCAGCCATTCCTTTTTTTTTAATGTTGTTTTCTCGCTTGACTATCCCACATGCATAGATAACATGGAAAATTAGTAAAACCTTTCTCCTGATTAAAGAGAAAGTTTACCATTTTTACACAAAGTTGTGTTCTGAATGTTTAATCATGTTAAGTACCATTTTAATGTCATGGTAAATCTCTTGCAAATAAACAGAGTTGTCAATTGGTAAAGAACAAAAAGTATTACTATTGTTGAAAAGGCAACATTTGAGGCTTTGCTTTGAGAGAAACAGTCTCCATTCTTTAGGAAACTTTTGCAAAGCTGCCAAGAAGGTTTTTCCTTTAATCGAGATGCTAATAGTTCTACTGCTTGCTTAGAAAGTCTTAAATTATGCACAAAGTCATTCAGCTTTATCTGAATAAAGCACTGAGGCATTTTTAAAGGTTTCGTATTAGAGAACTCTTCAAAATTTGGTATAAATTCTTCTGTTTCTGTTGCAGACATGCTTTGTTCATCATTTGTTCATTAAAAATTGAAATTTGAATCTTTTCAAAATGTTAAATTGATCTAATAGCAGAAGGAATTTTGTGATTTGCTATTTTTTGCCGCTTTTCCAATACCAAAGATATCAATAAGGCAAAAATAGCATTTGTCAATGTGGTTTAATGATTCTCTCCACACCATATGGACTCTAAAAGGTAAATTTTTTCTTTTTCATTTTGTTTAATCTTAAAGACTCTCATTAAAAATATGGCACACAGCATGTGGTGCACATTTTTTATCTTAGTCACCAAGTTTTCATAAAAATGTCTACAAAAAACCTTATTTTTGAAAAATTAGAAGTTGCAAAAAAACTAGACAAAAACTAAGTTTAGGTTTGAAATCAGCATTAAAAAATACATAAAAATCAGTTTAAATATCTCATATTAAGTATCTCATGTAACAGAAAAATGTTTTTTTTTTTTTGTAAACCTGTGTAATTAATATTTTTTTGATATTATAATTTTTGAATATTTTCTTTTAAAATTTTATCTAGATCTTTTCTGTATATGATGAAATCATTTGATGTTGATAAAGAAGAACGAGAAAATTTTTTACATAAAATGAGCGTTATCGGAGACTTGAGTGCAGGTAATTTTTTAAAAGTTTTGAATTTTTGAAATTATCAAATAAAATTTTTTTTTATATACATGCCTTGTTCCATGCTTAAATAAAATGGGGTGAACAATGAAGTTTATGTTATTTAAATGAAATAGGGTAAACAATAAAATTTTTCAAATGTTTAATAGGAGTCAAAAAAAGTAAATTTTCAAGTTTAAAAAACCCTATCGCCAAAATTTGGATGAAGTATATAAAAAATGAGCCTCAAAAAAATTGATCTCTATCCAATCACTTTTGAATCCCCTTAAACCAATAATTAAGGTAAAATATGATCGAAAAATGGTCATTTTCAGAGCATCTTGAGAGATTTTACATATAGAAATAGACATATATAGAAATATTTTTGTTTAAAATGAAATTGTTTTTTTACTACTATTTTACTACTTCAAAAATTTAAAAAATTTGGTGAGAAAAAATAAACAGTGATTGGCTGTGACAATGTCATTTATCTGTACTTGGCTGTGACAATGTCATTTATCTGTACTTGGCTGTGACAATGTCATTTATCTGTACTTGGCTGTGACAATGTCATTTATCTGTACTGAAAAATTAAAATGAGTAAGAATAAATAAAAAAATGTTTGTTTGAAATTTTTTATTAGAGAAAAAACATTTAACTCGTTATCTTTTTCACACCAAGACCATGATTAAATTTAAATTTTGAAATTGTACAGGATTTTTGTTTAAAAAAATGTAATCTGAACTCAGATTAAATTTTGTCTACAAAAAGGAATCTGTTGTGTTTTTCAGTTTCATCCTAATATCTATAAATATACTGGTCCGTCCTACTTTAGACCATTCTAAATGGTCATTTTACAAAAATCAAAGTTTCAATAAATTGTTATAATTTTGAAGAAAGACTGAGTATGCCAATAATTTAGTGGAAGGGAGAGTCAGTCTTTTACTTGTTACTTATAAAATTATGTCAAAATCAAATAAGAAAAGAGATTTAATAAGACAGTCAAGAATGTTAGTTTTTTCCTTATATTTGTATCTATTTTGTAAGTTTCCTTAATATCTTGTTCCACAGCTATTGGGTTAGCATTTGATGTATGGCTGTAATGTCAAGAAAAGGAGCATTTGATGACCTCAGATTATAGTTACCATTTTGCATAAAAGCAAAATGGTCACTATAATCTGCACTTACGCTTATTCCATACTGCAGTAAAAAAGGACTATATATAAATATACCCAAAACAAGTTTTTAACCACTCATTTGGCTTAAATTTATTTGGTTTTATTAGAGTGTTTAGTTAGTCTTATTATAATATTTTTTATTACTATTATTATTATTACAATATCTTAAGTCGCGGGGTAAAACATAAGTGGTGATGACATTTGCCTGACAGGATAAACTAGTTATAAGTACGATAAACTAGTTAAAAGTATTTCTATCAAACTGTAATAGTTGAACTAGATTATAACTAAAATTTCTTTAAAAATATTTTTTATCTATTTAATATGAGGATAATCAGGTTTATGAGTCAGGATTATCAGTCTATTATCAGGGTTATCAGTCCGTTAGTTTTTTCATTATCCACTAATATTCAAAAGTGAAACATTCTTAATTAAATCACATGATACAGGCTATTTGGAGGTGATATTTTTCCAGTTCTTTAGATATTCTGCAAACTGATCCTTTTTTTGTCTCAGTATTGGATGATGTTCTATCAAAATATATTCCTCTAGATTTTACTTGTTTTAAGTTGATGCTTCTAAATTAAGTTCATTACACTTTAGAACTGATCTTTACCAGTGCTAAAAATCATTGTGCTGCATTTCCAATCATAACCATTACTTCCATATCTATTGCCAAAACCATTCTCCAGAAAAAAAGATGTCTGTTTGGTATTGATAAAAACCATTGTAAAAATGGGTTTGTCTAATGCCAAAGGGTTTGTCTAATGCCAAAGCCCACTTTTCTCAGGTCACAAAGTCTTATATTTTTTATCAGAAAAATTAAGCTCCAGAGACTTCTGAAGAATTTTTAACAGTGTCTATAGTAAGGGCAAATTTGTTATGACTCCTCTCTTGCATGGTTCAGATTTTTTTACCTCGCCTAAAACAAAGCTGAATTGTTTGCTAAGAACTTTTTTAGGGGTAAGCAGATTTAGGGGTAAGCAGAAAAATTCTGCTAACCAGCCTCGAACCCCTTCTTCATCTATTAGGCTGGCGTAGATGTAACCTGTGTTACATTGTTTCCTGCCTAGGATCATGAATGCTGGATCTCCTTGACTCTACTCATAGAATTTTGCTTATGCCTCTATGATAATGGCTATGCAACTCTTCCTGTTATCTCCATATGAGGGTACAGCTCTAAAACTCAGTTTAATGGTTCTGAGGCCGGCTGGTAGTAAGGTTTCCCGAACTCTGTGGTAGCTCTCAGAGAGGCTGATTCCATCAACAGCTGCAAAATATCAGAGTATTAACAGTGCCATGTTGCGCATGGATGGTGTCCCTGTTAATGCTTTTGGTGTGCATTGTCAAGGCCACATAAGGAGCCCTATGTCACAGCTTAGGGTTAATTAACAGGACTGAGACAACTGCATAGCTCATTGATTAGGAGGCTGTGCTCTATCTATGAATGAGTCAAATTCTCATTAAACCCAAATCATGACCAAAGTAACCAAAAACTTAAAACCTAAAAAACCATCCCCACCACCTAAATATTTTAATATATCTTTTACAAATATTCGCGGTCTACGAAGCAACTTTCCATCAGTTGAGTCTTACCTCCTGCAAAATTCACCAGACTTGCTTGCACTCAGTGAAACAAATTTAAGTTCTGCAATTCCTTCTTCTGATGTTAGTGTTGATGGGTACTATCCTTTGATTCGTAAAGACTCCAATAGTCACATGCTAGGTTTAGGGGTATACATACGCATTAATTCCCCTATTTGTCGTGAAATCAGGTTCGAATCCTTTGACCATTCTTTTATGTGTTTTCGCCTAGCACCTCTTCACTCTATCACCTTTCTCTTTGTTCTTTATCGTTCTCCTTCTTCCCATGATTGCACTCTTTTAGATGTTATCTCTGATCAAATTGACCATGCCCTCTCTCTTTACCCCTCCACCAATATTGTTGTTGTTGGTGATTTTAATGCCCATCACACTGAATGGCTTGGCTCTAACACCACTGATCCTGCTGGCACTAAAGCCTTTAACTTCTGCGTTTCTCAATCTCTTACTCAGATAGTTAACTTTGTGACTCGTTTTTCTGACAACCCTAATCATTTACCTTCACTCCTTGACTTATGTCTTGTCTCTGACCCTAGCTTATGTTCAGTTTCTCCCTTTTCTCCCTTAGGTGGTTCTGACCATGCAATGATCTCTATAAATCTTCTTCTCGTACTTCTTTTTTGGGCTCACCTTATCATCGCACCACCTACTACTACCCTAAAGCTGACTGGGATTCCTTTCGTGATTTTCTTCGTGATGGTCCTTGGGCTGATGTTTTTTCTCTCTCAGCTGACAAATGTGCCTCCTACGTAACCTCCTGGATTCAGGCTGGAATGGAAGCTTTTATTCCTTCTCGTCGGTTTCAAGTCAAGCCTCATTCTACTCCATGGTTTTCTCCTTCTTGTGCGGCTGCTATATCCAATCGTAACCATTTTTTTCATCTTTTTCAAAAGAACAACTCTCTTAAGAACAAATGGCTATTTATTATTGCAAGAAATCGATGTAAAAAGGTGCTTTCTGATGCTAAACTCCATTATTCTCAGTTCACTAAATCTCGCATCTTATCGCAGAAGTTAGGCTCTAAAGACTTTTGGAAAATCTTCAACAGCATTGTTAACAAGGGTAGATCTAACATTCCATCTCTCATTCATGGGACTGATCTTGTTACCTCTCCCAGGGATAAGGCGGAACTATTTGCAAAGAACTTTTCTTCTAATTCCACTCTTGAATCTTATGGACATTCTCTTCCTTCCATTCCAGTCAAACAGGTTGACCCATTGTTAGACATTCAAATCACTTCAGCTTCTGTTGCTAAAGTCATATCTCAATTAAACTCGTCTACAGCTTGTGGTCCAGACAACATTCCTGTCACAGTCTTGCAGAATTGTTCTCCAGAACTTTCTTCAATTCTCTCTAAACTATTTAACAAGTGTTTGACTGAGTCTTGTTTTCCTGCTTGTTGGAAAATGGCATCTGTGGTTCCAATATTCAAAAACTCTGGAGAAAATTCTGACCCCTCCAATTATCGTCCAATCAGTCTTCTTTCTGTTATTAGCAAGGTCTTTGAGTCTTTAATCAACAAATTCCTCACATCTCATCTTGAGTCAAATAAACTGCTGTCAGACAATCAATACGGTTTTCGATCCTCTCGCTCTACGGCCGACTTGCTAACTGCTGTAACTGAAAGATTTTATCGTGCATTAGATGGAGGCGGTGAGGCTAGGGCTATTGCTCTCGACATATCTAAAGCTTTCGACAAAGTTTGGCATGCTGGTCTTCTCGATAAGCTTGCTTCATATGGTGTTTCTGGGAAAGTTTTTGAGATTATCAAATCATTTCTTTCTGACCGGTTTATTAAAGTCATCCTTGAAGGCCAACACTCTTCTTTATTTCCAGTAACTTCTGGGGTTCCCCAAGGTTCCATCCTGGGCCCTGTTCTGTTTCTTATCTACATAAACGATCTTCATGACAACCTTTCATCTAAAGTAGCTCTTTTTGCTGATGACTCAACTTTATACTCCTGTCTTGACAAAAAGTCTTCTCTTTTCGATTGCCTAGAACAAGCAGCTGATCTTGAATCTGATCTCACTTCAGTAATAGATTGGGGTTCACAGTGGCTTGTGAATTTCAACTCTAAAAAAACACAATTGCTTACTGCAAACAACTACCGTAATATGGTCAACATTCCTATATTAATGAATGGCAATCCTCTTACTGAGTCGTCCTCTTTACGTCTTCTTGGATTATCGCTTACTACTGACCTTTCATGGAAACCATATATACAATCGATTGCTAAATTAGCTTCTGCTAAGGTTGCTTCTCTTTATCGTGCTCGCCATTTCCTTACTTCTGATTCCATTCTCTATCTCTACAAATCTCTTATTCGTCCCTGTATGGAATACTGTTGTCATATTTGGGCTGGTTCTTCTAACGATTCACTCTCTCTTCTTGACAAGGTCCAAAAACGCATTGTAAATGTTGTTGGACCTGGACTATCTGCTAAGCTTGAACCTCTTTCCCATCGTCGTAAAGTTGCATCTCTTTCTCTTTTCTACAGATACTATCATGGTCACTGCTCAAAGGAGTTATCATCTCTAGTTCCATCAAGTAAAATTCATTCTCGTTTTACTCGTCATTCAGCTAAGTCTCATTCGTTTTCTGTATCTGTCCCTGCATGCTCTAAAAACTTTTATTCATCTAGTTTTTTTCCCCGCACTTCAATCCTTTGGAACTCTCTCCCATCTTCATGTTTTCCTGACTCATACAACCTTCAACTTTTCAAGTCTTCTGTCAACCGTTTCCTTGCTCTATAACTCTGTTCTTTTTTTTTTCTAGTAACTCCCAACTTAATAGTGGTTGCTTGCAGCTTTATTGGGAGTGAATGCAAATAAAAAAAAAAAAAAAAAAAAAAATATCTGATAGGTTTTATTGTGCATTAGATAGATGTTTAGAGGTTAAGGCTATCGCTCTTAACATTTATTAAGTCTTTGATAAAGTTTCGCATGATGGTCTTCTCCATAAGCTCTTTTCTTAAGATGTATCAGGTAACATCTTTAAGATTACTGAATTCATTTTTACCAATCGTAGTATAAACGTTGTCCTCAATGGATAACACTCTTCTTCATTTCCTGTAACTTCAGGAGTTTCTTGAAGTTCTTTCCTTGGCCCTATACTTTTTATAATTTGCATTAACGGTCTTCCAGAAATTTTAATGTCCAAGGTGGCATTGTTTGCTAATGATACTATCATTTATTCTTGTCTTGATAAGAAGCCAATAATCTCTGATTGCTTGGATGGGGGCATTTGAGCTTGAAAAGGATCTCACTTCTGCTACATGGGGCTCTTAGTGGCTGGTGAACTTTAACTCAGATATAACTCGGTTTTTTTCAGCCAATCGTTATCGTAATAATCTAGATCTTTCTTTATTTATGAACAGTAATGTATTTGATGTGTCATCTACCCTTCGTCTTTTAGGATTAACTTACTTCCTATTTTTTTTGGAAACCATATATCAAATCTATTTCAAAATCAGCATCTGATAAATTTGCATCTTTTTATTGTGTTTACACTTTCTTGATGATATTCTTTATCTCTATAAATCTCAAATCCATTTTTGCATGGAATACTGTTGCCAAATCTGGAGAGGATTTTCAAATGATGCCCTTTCTCTTTTAGACAAGGTGCAAAAATGCATCGTGAACATAAGTGGGCCTGCTCTTGCAGCCAACTTTTAACCATTGTTGCAGTGTCTTAATCTTGGTTCCTTTTCTCTTTTCTATAAATACTATAATGAGTGCTGTTCTATAGAGCAAACGTCATTTGTGCTATTTACTAAAATTCATTTTCATGTTACTTGTCATTCAATTAAGTTTCACCCTTTTACTGTGACTGTTCCTATCTGCTCCAAATTTCTTTTTGGTTTAGTTTTTTTCCTCAGCCATCAGTTTTTCGGAATTCACTCCCTTCATCTTTGTAAACTTCAATTTGTTTTCCTGATTCATATAATTTGCAATCTTTTAAGTTGTCTGTTAATTATTATCTTGCTTTATAAACTCCATCTTTTCTCTTCCAGTACTTTCCAACTCTAATTAGTATGGTGGAATAAGTTGAAAACAACCCTAGACCTATAAAAAAATAATATAAAGTTAGGCTTCTGCGCAGAGGTTAGTTAGGATGTCAGCAATGACAAAAAAGAAAAGCCTCGTGTTTTTGGAAAACAGGAAATACCATTTCAGGCCTATTTTTCAAATACAAAATGAGGCAAAATGATTAATTTTTTTATGTCGCCAAAACTATTAGTTATGTATATCATTTGAAAGATAATGCCGAGTAAAGTGTTAGTTACACATAGTTTTAAAAATGTTTGTTACACATAGTATTAAAAATGGTTGGTAAGTTATAGCTGCTCAAAATGGAAATTATGACGTCATTGTTTTTGAAAAAATATTTTTTTCTTTGAAATCGTAAGCATGATATTCCATTAAAAAATCAAACTTAAAAAATAAAAATAAAACATACAAAATAAACAATAAAAAATACATTAAAAAATCTTAATGCTCAGTAAAATATTGTGTCAAGTTATTTTTTTAAACAATTTTAGTGATGAATATAGAACAATAATTGTCTAAGAATGGCAACAGTAATTTTGCTTATTTTAATGATTTTTTTAATTAAAATTATGTACAGTAAATTATGTACAGTTTGTTCGAACAGTTTTTGTTCTGCAGCCACACTTTTCAAATAAATTTGTTGAAAACAACAAAATCCATGTGACACCTAATTGCGACAAGGGCTGGTGCGAGTAGGTGTCACATGAGAAAGGAGGGCAGGGGTTCCATTAAAATTTTTGCTTAATACTCTAGACCAAGATCAATTCTTGTATCAATATCTTTGGGATTGAAATGGACATTGACAAATCGTTTGCAATAAAATGGCTTGTTGTTCATTTTTCTAGACTTATTTAGTGTGTCTTCTGATGAAGTAAAGTTATTTAAAAAATCAATTTTAGTGATGAATATAGAGCAATAATTGTTTAAGAATGGCATTAGTAATTTTGTTTATTTTTATGACTTTTTTTATTAAAATTATGTACAGTAAATTATGTACAGTAATTTATGTACAGTAAATTATGTAGTTTGATCAAACAGTTTTTGTTTGGTTTTTGCGGAAAAATAAGATGCAATTGAAATGCAAATACATTAATTTATCCCATGGGTTGCCAATAATGTTGATCAAAAACATTTCACAGAATTGGTATTATTGCAATTTCCCCATGCTCTGTTTAAAACTTCATTACTATAAAGCGATTGAAGCATGAATGATCTTTTTGCTATAAAGATGCAATAAAAATATCATAGATCAAGTCAACAAGAGTTATCAAAGTTAAAATTCAAAGCGGTCAGAGATTTAGCAATATCATTATTTCGTTCTATTCTTATGAATCTTGGTATTTTGTGGCAAATTGCATGGTTTTTAACTTCAAAGAAATCTCCATGGCCTAATTAGTCAGGATTCATGCAACATGCTGTGAATACAATGACAACTTTCAAAAGGCAATTTATCAATTTTCTTCTCATTATTGACTTAAAATCTTTGGAAGAGTTTTTATTCAACTCTTCAGTTTTTGATATCTCAAGCCATAATATTTGGCATATCTATACCATGTATTACTTTTAGTCAACCACTCCCAGTGGGCACAGAACATCTGCTGGATGTCACAAGGATATCCTATGACGTCTATAGCACGTTGTACAGATGTCCCGCGTACGTCTGTGCCCGCAGGGCTGTGGTCTTAAAAAGAATGTACGCCTCCTTTGGGTAGTATTAAATACACAGCTGATGTTCATGATGCAATGAAAAATCTAACAGGTATTAAATACACAGCTGCTGTTCATGATGCAATGACAAATATAACAGCTATTAAATACACAACTGCTGTTCATGATGCAATGACAAATCTAACAAGTATTAAAGTTGGAACTAGTGAGCAGCATCTAGAAAATGCATCAAATAAACGATTATAAGGACTTCTAAAACTTTTATGGATGGTTCAAAACAAGAAATCTCTTTGAATTCAAAAGATACTCACTCTCACTCGTTATCAAGTAGAGCCTTTTTAGAAATTGAAAAAGGCAATGTTAATTGTAAAAGTTCAGAAGCCATTGGACTAGCAGTTCAACAAAATCTTGACAGCATCAGTTTGCAAAAGTAATTATCAAGACAAAGAATCAAATTTTAATCATTGACAAAGTGCGCTTAAATTGACAAAAAAAACTCATTTATTATCAAATCAACAATACTATTTAAAAGATTTGTAGCAAATTGCAAAAGAGAAATGATGTTGAAAGCTACTTTAATTACACTCACCTCTTTTCAACAAGTTTTTTTTTTTTTTTTTAAATAATTTTATGCAGAAACCTGATAAAGAAACTACTTCTAACAGAGGAAAAGATTTGTTAAATAGAAAAAAAGATATAGCTATTTTGGAAAAAGTTGCCTTTTTTATGGCGAATTACACATTACACACAAGTCTATAAAAACTTTTTAAAAAAAGGTCAGCTATAAAAGTTTGGAGCCACAAAATGTAAAAGGGACCGGGCTATAGTCTCCTCCCCTCCTCCGACCTAGTCCCTCCTTGATCTAGCACTAATATTTTTTACGTTATGGTTTAAGAAAATATTTTACTTAGCATTAAACTAAACTTCTAACGGTATATAATGCTTACGGTATAATATTAACGGTATATAATGCTTATTTTTTAGAAAAAATATTTTTTCAAAGAAAAAATATTTTTTCTAAAAAATGACGTCATAATTTCTACTTTGAGTAGCTATAACGCATTTTTCAAACTTTGTGTAACAAATATTAGAAAAAAATGAATTAAAAAATTCATTTTTTTTCTGATATTTAAATTAAAATTAAAATAGCGAAAAGAATGCTTTAAATAAATACTAGATAAAATAATTAAAAAAAAAAACTGGTGAAAAAAAGCAATTTTTCACAAAATTTGCGCAAATGAGTAAAAAAAATTTGTTGCAATTTAAAACAAAACGCTTTTACTTTTTGGCAAGCGCTTTTTTATGCCCTCGCCAAAGTTTTTTATTTTAAATTATATCGCCAAAATTGTTTTTTATTTTAAATTATATTTATAAAAATGTTTAGAAAAAATCAGTCAATTGGAAGATAGTGCTGAAATCATCTCATGATTTTGTTATGGAAATATAATACACGTAAGTGTGTATATATATATATATATATATATATATATATATATATATATATATATATATATATATATATATATATATATATATATATATATATATATATATATATATATATATATATATATATATATATATACACATGCACACAAACACAATATTTACTTTAGTTTAGATAGCTATAAAAAATAATTTATTTTCTAGTGTAGAATTGTTTAAAATTTTTGATACTTTTTAACGGATTATTCTCAGGTTATTGGGTGATTTTTTTTTTTTTAGTGTTATGTCGTTATAAACAGCGGTTTTAACTTTTGTTTTGTTTGTTGTTGTTTTAATTTTTTTTAATATTTTCTCTTTTTTTTTTTCAAATTTTTTAATGGGATTTAAATTTATAAATACTTTTTTTCCTTTCTTTTTTTTTAATGTGTATGGAGATTAGAAAATTATTTTTATATTTTATACTTATACCTGTTCAGAGGGCTAAAAAAATTTTGTAAATATTTCGTATTTTTTATAAACTTGAAATTGGAAATGAAATTTTGTAGGATTATTTTTTAATGTATATTTTGGGTAATATAAATGTTATTATATTTTGTTTTTATTATTTATTAACTGTTAAGAGATCATTGTTATTAAAACATAAAGTGATCAATTATTTACTGAAGGTGAGTTTCCACATGTCCATTTTTCTACAAGAAAGTGATGAGAAAAATAATGACGTTAGCGTGCATAATTTAAGTTTTAGTTTTTCCTACGCATGCTCGCGTGATTGTTTTTTTTTTGTTTCCGGAAAAAAAACGAATAAGTAATAACTCACCTTAAGGAATGTCATTGCCGTAAAAACGTGTCGTAGATTTTTTCCAAAATTTTACATATTGTAGTTTTTTTGTATTAAATGCATAAATTAAAGATAAATCTAGTTTTTTAGTCACGACTACCAATTGATTGTTAAAAAGTTAGAAGTTTTGTCTCTAATAGATTTTAGTAGTAATGCAACGTTACATTTCCGATACTTGAACGTAGCACCAAAGTCGTTAGAAACCATTGTTCACTAGTGACTTCATTCACTAAAATATATTCACAGAAAAAAAAATTATTTAATAATTATGCAAAACTAAACAATTTTTTTATTTTTATTTTATTAACGTTGTTCGTTTTTGGTACTATTTTTTTATTTATTCTTATATATTAGGTATATATTATACATTATATATTAAGTTATTATATATTAAATCTCTTTAAATCATTATATATTAAATCTCTGGCAATGTTGTGCTTTATATTTTTTCTGTAATAAGAAAGCCTATTTTTAATATCTTCAGCTCTTCAATCAAAAACGGAATTGTCCCAGACAAATTAAAAATAGCAAAAATTGTATCTATATTTAAATACATCTGCAATTAGCAATTATAGACCAATCTCAATTCTTCCTATATTTTCTAAACTCCTTGAAAGAATAATTTACAACAGACTGTATAAATATTTAATAGAACACAAAATCTTAAGTAAAAATCAATACGGGTTTCAAACGCAACATTCAACAGAACATGCTATCCTATATCTCATTAATAACATTGCAACTTCCTTTAATGATAGGAAATTTGTATTAGGAGTCTTTGGAATGGAAAAATATGGCAAAAAAAATCAAACTATAAAATGGTTCGCCAACTACCTAGACAACAATGTGTTACCATAGATCACTATAACAACTCGAAACAACTAAAAATCAAATGTGGGGTTCCTCAAGGATCTATTCTAGCTCCTCTTCTATTTTTAATTTATGTCAACGACCTCCCTAAAGTCTCATCTAAGTTAGGTTGCATAATTTTTGCAGACGACACTAATCTGTTTTATTCTTCTAGCTCAATCAGTGAACTCTTTATAACCGCAAACTTAGAACTTATTAAACTTAACACATGGTTTAGAGCTAACAAATTGTCATTAAACTTAAACAAAACTAAATACATCTTATTTCACCCCAACCAAAAAAAAAAGGCTATTCCATCAATTTTACCAACTCTTAGTATTGACAACACAATTATTGAACGAACTCAATCATCTAAATTTCTTGGTGTGCTTCTTGACGAGAAATTATTTTGAAACTCTCGCATAAATACCACTAATACAAAAGTCTCAAAAAACATTGGTCTACTCTATAAAGCAAGAAATTATTTATCGTTCGAAAATTTAAAACTTCTTTATTTTTCTTTTATACACAGCTATCTATCATATGCCAATATAGCATGGGCAAGTATCCATAAAACTAAATTAAGTTCACTCTATAGACGACAGAAACTCGCCTCAAGAATTATTTTTTATAAAAACAAACTTACTCACGCAAACCTATTACTAAAACAGATGAATGCTTTAAACATTTACCAAATTAATATATATCAAAATATTTTGTTTATGTTCTAACATAAAATGGGAATTATTCCAAGTCGATTTATGAATAACTTTTTTAAAACTAATATAAACAAATTTAGCACTAGAGCAACTGGAAACTATATAGTACCCCTTAAAAAAAGAAAACTGTCTCAATTCTCAATAGCATATCGTGGTCCTTACTTGTATTACAAATTAATACCAAAAAATTCCTCAATATCACTCCTGAAAAATATAAATTCCTTAAAATCTTATCTTAAAAAACTTGTCTTAAATACAAGCAGTTATATGGAAATTTTCTAATAACTTATGAGTAATTAAAATATCAAAATCATGTACATAAAAAAAAAAATAATAAATAAATAATAATAGAAAAAAAAAAGTATGAATATACATATATACATGTATGTGTACGTGTATGTGTGTATGTATATATATATATATATATATATATATATATATATATATATATATATATATATATATATATATATATATATATATATATATATATATATATATATATATATGTATGTGTGTATGTATGTACATATATATATATATATATATATATATATATATATATATATATATATATATATATATATATATATATGTATGTGTATATGTATGTATGTGTATATGTATGTATTTGTATATATACATATATATATGTGTATGTGTATGTGTGTATTTATGTGTATGTATATGTATGTATGTGTATATATATATGTGTGTGTATGCGTATGTGTGTATGTGTATGTGTGTATGCATATATGTATATATATATATGTATGTATATATATATGTATATGTGTATGTGTATATATATTTGTGTGTATGTGTGTGTATGTATGTGTATATATATATATGTATATATGTTATGTTTATGTTATGCTCCTTCCTAAAACACGAATAATTATATTGAAAAATGTAATAAGTAATGAATAAAATATTTATGAGTATCTCATGAAAATGTTTAAAAAAAAGGGTTCTCGATGACAAGACTTTACACAGTTTTCTGCGAGTTTCCCTTGACTACATATCTAAAGGTTTAATTTTTCTTTTTTTAAGACTTTTTTTGTCTTTTCAAAACATAAACTGAAAAACTATTTTACATTACTTTATTACTTGGTACATCGAATATATTTTAGTATTATTTCAGTTATTTTTAAAGCATTTTGACTGTATTTGTAAAAAAAGTAAATATATTGTTAAAACTATTTGTAATAAAAGTATGTATTGTTAAAGCTATGTAGTTGTAAAAATATATGGAAAAAAAAAAAAAAAAAAGTTATATATTAAGTATATATTATATATTATTATTATATATTAAGTATATATTATACATCAAGTATATGAAGATAAATAAAATAACACTATCGTACTATTTTTTATTTTCATATTACTTTGACAATAAAAATTTAGTATATAATTAAATAACTTTTTTTGTTGTTGTTGTTGAGGTAAAAGAAATGTTTTAATCTTGAGCGATCGAACTTTAACTGGTGCTTTGTTAAACAACAAAATCTTCAAGCTTTTTGCAATGCATCATTGTGTCACATTATTATGAACATACAATAGTTGGGCCAGAGTCTAGCAAAAAAGGCATAGCAAAAGGTTGTATATTGGCTTTTTCAGTTATTTGCAATAAACATGTGTACCCAGGGATTATCTTTTTCCGGATATTCCCGGAATTCCGAATATTTTTCAAGATTATTAGTTTTTCCGGATATCCAAAAGGTTTTCTATACATTCAAGTTTAAGTATATATTTGTGTAATATATTTGATTTTTAAGGTATTTTAGTGATCACTCATACAAAAATTAAAGAAATTCTCAAAAAAATTGAGATACAACTTAGCTAAAAGAAAATTAAGGGGAAAAAAATTCCGGATATTTTCCGGATATTATAAGCGAACAATTTTCCGGATTTTTTAAATATGACCTGGATCATCTATGGTACCGTAACTTTGCGCAAAAAGATGAAATGTTTTGCTTTGTGTTTCTAAAAATTGGCTTAAAACATCTCTAGTATTTATAAAAACTTGCCAAAAATTTTATTTAGACTATTCAAAAACCGTTATTATGAGAATTTATTTTTTTAACCATTAAAGAAGGATTTTTCATGGGTGTCTAAATTATGTCCTAAGTTAACCGGGGTTTCGGCTAACTTTGCACAGCCTTATAAAATTTGGAAAAAACTTTGCCGTTTATATGAACTTTGTTATTTAAACTCTTTTTATTATACTGTTTAAAAGAAATTTTAACGAGATTTTAAAGACGAATAACAATAAAACAATAAAATCAGATTTACTATTGTTTTAGTAAATAAAAAATTTAACATAATAAAAGAAACATAGCCACATTAAAAACTAAAAACACAAAATTTCCTTTAATGTAGGCAATTATATATCTTTAAAATAAAAAATAAAAGTTAATTAAACAAACTTCAAGAAAAATGAAAGTCTAATAGAGGTATTTAAAGTTTATAAAATAAAGACTCCTTAATGTGAAATAAATATTGTCCATTTCTTAAAAATCTTTTTGTGTGTTAGACAAGCATTTAATATTTTTACCATTGGCTTCACATAAGCATTATTTTCCTTGACATTTGTAATTTGTCCAGGAAAAAGTTCACGTCTCAAATTTTCTAAGTTTTCTTCTCATTTTTATTCTTTTTATCGACAAGTTCATTTTCAATGCTACTCGATGATTTTTAGCTAGAACTGTGATCATGGCTCTCTTTTGGATCTTCTTTAGATTGAACTTTTGACTTTATGCTCTTCGTGTTTTTGTTCAGTTTTTTTTTCTTTGCAAGCTTTGAGCTAATATCAAAACTATTATCAAATTTTTTCTAAATCTTCTGTGCTAACACTTTTTCCT